AGCCAGCGAGTCCCTCTTCGTCTCTAACCACGCCTACTAAATGGAGGTGGTGTGAGGCTGCCCCCTCAACACTCCAGGCCCCCCGCCCCCTCCCATGCCCACCTCTTGATGGGAGGGCACCACCTGGGCTCCAGGCCACGCTTTCCTCTCACTCTCGCCGCCTATGTGACAGTGGTGTGCGGTGTTGTCTGTGTATGCTAACTCCATCGCCCTTTCCAGCTCACTGCCAATAAACAACGGTTTAAGGGGGAAAAAAAAAAAACATGTATGTTACCATCAAGTGGGAGAGACAGACTATAAATGAGTAAACAAATAAAGGTTGTTCTAAACTGTGACAAGTGAAACCCTTAGACCAATATCTCCTTTCCTGTTACTCCCAACTTGATATTCTGTTACTCACCCTTCAGTTATGTAAATCTTCCATTTTGAATATCCTGGTCATCAGCATTCCATCTCAAAGCCCTCTGCAAAGAATAGCCCCAGGCTCCTTGGATCTCAAACCCAGTCTGAGAGCATGCCCAATCCATATGTCAATGTCCTCCAACTCACCCCAGATCCAGAATCACTGAAAAGGAACGCCTTATCTGACCGGTCACCGAGGCAGCCCTTTTTAAAGTGAGATGTGCATCTAGCAAATATCTGGAAGAACATGACTCAACAGCCAGACCTCCTTTTATGGATCGAAGTGGGTGAAAAGGTAGGAACAGGAGAGGGGAAGAGAAGTAAGAATTCCAGAAGCCTAAGAGGCTAAAAGACCCCAATGTCCCATGCTCAGTTCCGTGACTGTGCAGACAATACAATCCTTGTTGCTTTTGCACACTTAAAAAGCAAGCTCTAGCTTAAGTGGAGAGCAAATGTGCTTGACACAATGGATGGATGTATGGATTGTGATAAGAGTTGTATGAACCCCCAATAAAATAATTTTCAAAAAATAAATAAAATGATCTTTAAATAAAAAACAAACAAAAAACAAGCCTTAAACTATTAAATTTTAGTCAGACTAGTAAATATTTAACTATATCAAATAAATTTCATTTTGGAAAAATCCTTTACAAATTGCTCTTGTTGCATATCTCCTATAAAAACCTCTTAAAATGGATTAAAAATGAATATGCTATTTAGTAGACCTGAATATAGATATAGCTTTTCTCTAAGAAGAACAAAAGCATGTTTTGGTTAAGTGAATCTTCTTAAAATGAGTCTTCTATCCATGTCTCTGTAATTCCCACCAAATGATTACGTGGGATCAAGCAAAGAGGAGATTGGTCAGTTTTGGTTTCCTTTCCTCTTTATATGAGAGAGCGATCTGGAAATCAGAGATAGAGAGAATTCCTGGTACCACAATGGAGAAGAGCCACTAGTGGAAGACATTTGATATCCATCTCTACCTGAAGTGGCAGAGGCAGTAAAGACCATGCCACACGAAGACCAGAGACCAAGGCAAAGGGAACATGAGACCAAGCAGAGGAGTATGAGACTATGAGGCAGAGCAGCAGGTGGGCTTCCTGGCCCATGGAGTCAGAGGCCATGGGACATGTGGTTGAGACACTAAGGATGAGAAATGGAGGGAGGGAGGAGGTAAGGAGGGAGGGAGGGAGGGAGAGAGAGAGAGACTTGTCAAGGCAAGGGGAACATGAGACAGAGCAGAGGAGTATGAGACTATGAGGCAGAGCAGCAGGTGGGCTTCCTGGCCCATGGAGTCAGAGGCCACGGGACACGAGGTTGAGACACTAAGGATGAGAAATGGAGGGAGGAGGTAAGGAGGGAGGGAGGGAGGGAGGGAGAAAGGGAGAGACTTGTCTATTGGCTGAGGAGATACACTGCTGTGGACAAAAAACTATATCCATAGTGTTCTCTGATCCTTAATAAACTCCCATCATTGTGAGCACTGCTGTGAGTTCTATGTAGTCATTGCAATGGATTATCAAACCCAGCAGAAAAGGAGAGTGGTGTGGGAGGAATAAAGATGGGGGTGGAGTCAGGTCTGACCTCTACCTTGTGGCAATTTATCTTGGGCTGTCATGGATATGGAGTTTCCTTCTCCCTTTTGAACCAAGGGAGGTCAGATGTGGACTCCACACTGTTTCCCCCCATAAAAACTTCAAATTATAGCAAACAATTGTTTTTGTATGCTAGTAAATTACTTTAGATACTTATGTTCCAGGGAGATGATTGATAAAGATTCTCTCCCATAAATTAACAAGGAGGTCACTAAGGGGAGCCAGAAGCAGATACAAAAACAAAGGTCCAGGAATGGATTTGGGGTGCATACTTAATCCTAGCTACAATTTAAAAACAATTAGTTCTCACAACATGGCCCTTCTTTATACTCACCCTCATGAAGGAAACACAGAAGATATGGTGCCAATAGTAAAGAGTGTTGAAGAAATTAGATGGTGCCCCGCTATCAGATAAAATCATGTCTCGACAAAGCAGGTGCATAAGCAAATGTGGCGAAGAAAGCTGATGGTGCCTGGCTATCAAAAGATATGGCATCTGGGATCTTAAAGGCTTGAAGATAAACAAGTGGCCATCTAGCTCAGAAGCAACAAGCCCACATGGAAGAAGCACACCTGCCTGTATGATCACAAGGTGTCGAAGGAATCAGGTATCAAGCATCCTCAGAACAAAAAAATCCTATCATTGTGTATGAGGGGGAGTGCGGAGTGGAGACCCAGAGCCCATCTGTAGGCAACTGGACATCCCCTTACAGAAGGGTCACAGGGAGGAGACGAGCCAGTCAGGGTGCAGTGTAGCAACGATGAAACATACAACTTTCCTCTAGTTCCTAAATGCTTCCCCCGCCACACACACTATCATAATCCCAATTCTACTTTACAAATCTGGCTAGACCAGAGAATGTACACTGGTACAGATAGGAACTGGAAACACAAGGAATCCAGGACAGATGATCCCTTCAGGACCAATGGTGGGAGTGGTGATACCGGGAGGGTGGAGGGAGAGTGGGGTGGTAAGGGGAAACTGATTACAAGGATCTACATATAACCTCCTCCCTGGGGGATGGGCAATAGAAAAGTGGGTGAAGAGAGACGTCAGACAGTGTAAGATATGACAAAATAATAATTTATAAATTTTCAAGGGTTCATGAGGGAGGGGGGAGCGGGAAGGGAGAGGGGAAAATGAGGGGCTGATGCCAGGGGCTTAAGTGGAGAGAAAATGTTTTGAGAATAATGAGGGAAATGAATGTACAAATGTGCTTTACGCAATTGATGTATGTATGGATTGTGATAGGAGTTGTATGAGCCCCTAATAAAATGATAAAAAAAAACAACAAAACTATAGTGTCTAACATAAAATTTAAAAAATCATGTCTGGGGTCTCAAAGGTTTGTTTCCGAACAAGCAGCCATCTAAGTGAGACATCAACTAAGTCCACATGGAAGAAGCACACCAGCATCCATGACCCAAGGCTTGTAAATGATATAATCCAAATGTAAAAGAGGAATAGCATCAGAGCTTACATTGTGAGACTCTGCTTTGCAGAAGGCTATGGATGCCAGTGGGAGCCCAAGATAGATTTGTAAGATCTACATAGGAAATAAATCTCCAGTGATTTCCCTCTAACCATAATTGAGGGATGGGATTAAACTGGTTACCAAGCTGCAAATATTGAAGAGATGACTATAGGAGACCAAAATGATAAACCTCACTTGAATGGTTAAAACCTTGTCACTTGATTCCCCCCTCTGATACACTTTGGACCTGATCTGGTTTTTAATATTTTCTGTGTTTTTTTTCCATATTGAGGTTTATCTCCTATGTATTTCTCCATTGTGAGTTGCCTTCTTGAATCGTTGTTGCTTCTCTGGTTTTGTTTTTTTTTGGGGGGGGGGTTGGTATATGAAACCCAGGAGTGATGAAGCAATAGAGACAGCAAGTAGAACGAGGGTTCGTGGGGTATGGAGGGAGGTGTGTTGGGGGTAATGGAGAACTGATATCAAGGAGTTTAAGAAGAAATAGAATATTTTGAAACTGATGGTGGCAATTGTACAATATTGCTTGATGTGACTGATCTATGGCATGGTAGGATACCTGCAATAGCTCCCAATAAAGTTGTTTTGAAAGGGGCCACACTGAAAGTCTAAAGGTGTAATGGGGGGGGGGGCACGAGACTGCTCCATCCTTGACTGCAAGAAGAGCAACAGGGTCTTGTAGAAGGTGCACCTCCCCCTACATGAACGCTGAGGATTAAAAGGGCATAAGTGCTGTTGGGTAAGCGGATCCTAGGATATGGATCCCTGAAAGAAAAGCAGATTAGCCTGATGGATGATAACAGGGCCTGCTCTCTTTGTAACAGAGAGACACTCATCTACTCTGGGTCAGGACACCAGTCAGACTTGGAATTATTTGTATGGTCTCTGTCTCTCTCTCTCTCCCTCCCTCTTGCTGTCTATTTATATACGATAGGCAGGATAAGCAATCCCAAGGAGACAGCAATGGGACCAGTGGTTCTGGGGGCACATGGGAGAGGAGGAGGCAGGGGGAGGGGCGAGTTGAGCCAATAACGACAGGGACAGGGGAATAGCAAGGGATCTAAAATTGATGGTGAGGAGGGTACAGTGTTCCTGGTCATGTTTGATCAATTAAAAGATATCAGAGAGAAATTACTGAGAGGTGAACAATGGGCAAACATGATAGTGGGGCAGGAGGAAAGAAAAAAAAGTAAAAAGTAGCTATATAGGTATAAATATATATGTATATATATGTAAATATATAAAGATAGGTATGTATATATGTAGATACAATAAAGAAGCAGATGAACTTTGGGCCTCTACTTAAATATTATCTCAGTACAAGACCGGTTTGTTGTGATAATGTGACAACATATGGTGCTCACCTTCCCAACACGATTGCTGAAGACAAA